ATAGAAAAAAAAAAAACAGACAAGAAAATTAGAAACATCGAATCGATACGCACATCCCTTTTTCGCAACAAAAAAAAAAAAAAAAAAAAAAAAGAAAAAAAAAGAATAAAAAAAAGAAAAAAAAATGGTTTACGTAAACGCAATTCAATCGAATTCATTTGTACTTTTTTATCTGTGTTAATCGATGAACTTCATTCATTGTTAATAATTGTATTAATTATTATTATTATTATCATATTTGTAACGATTTAATACTAAGTAAAATAAGGCTGTATCTTAACACTGCCATTGCCAATGAGACGAGATTGTCGAAGGGTATCTTTTTCTTTTTCTTTTTTTTTCTTTTTTTGTTTCTTTTTTTCTTTCCCCCTTTTTTTCTCATTTTTTTCTTTTTTCCTTCTCTGTTTCTTTCTCTCCTCATTTTTGCTGCCCCTCCCACTTATCTCTCTTCTTACGCCGATAAAGGATGGTCCTTGGCATATTTTTTAGGGGAACGTCGCACAAAAACGTCCTTTCAAAATGCGCGAAATAATAACAATAATATAATAATATAATAATAATAATAATAATAATAATAATAATAATAATAATAATAATAATAATAATAATAATAACAATAATGTAATATTTTATCGATGATCAATAATTCATATCGAAAGAACTTTTTTCTCGTCGTAAGCTCGTGCAAAAAAAAAAAAAAAAAAAAAAAAGAAAAAAAAAAGAAAGAAACAAATAAAAAATAAAAAAATTGAAAAAGAAGGAAAAAAGAAGAAACAAGAAGAAACGACACGATCGACGTTCGCGCGAAATTTCTTTTCTCTTTTTTTCTTTTTTCTTTTTTCTTTTCTCTTTTTTTCTTCTTTTCTCTTGTTTTAATCATTCGAGTGAATTAGTAATATAAGGAGGAGGAGAAGAAGAAGATTAAGGGAAAAAGTGATTAGAAATTCATAATACCAAAATCCAAAATATATAATCTTAATTCGATCTAATTTTTGAAATTGTACTAAAGTTTCGGCCGATCGATATGAAAATAGATCGAGAGAGATTAATTGATTAATTAAATTGATTGATAGAGGGAGAGAGAGAGAGAGAGAGAGGCACGCGGATTCGATTCATTAGAAAAGGAAGACACATAGAATGCCAAAGCAATCGTCGTGCCTAAATTTCCATTAGTTTGTCTGTTTTTATTATGAAGTTTTCACACATATATATATATATATATATATATATATATATATATATATATATATGCAGTTATATGCGACAGATGATAGAAAAAGAAAAAAAAAATATTAGAAAATGCTGCAAAACGAAACAGAAAAAAAAAACAAAAAAGAAAAGCGAATACGCAAAAGTACGTTGTTATTTACGATTTCTTTGATTTTTGTTTTTTTTCTCTTTTATATACATACACACACACATGTATATATATATATATATATATATATATATATATATATATATATATATTACATATATATGTGTATGTATATACATATATAAAGACAATAGAGTCAGTGTTGAAAATATTTGTTCGATTTTTTTTCTAAGTGTTATAATATCGATTCTTTGCAATAAGAATTTCATATATATACTTATATATTTTTTGCTCTTTTGTAATATATATATATATATATATATATATATTATAAATATAATATTATATATATATGCTCGTTAAGTTATCTCTCTCTTTATAAAATAAAATCGAAGGAAAAAGAAAAAGAAGAAAAGAAAAAAAAAAAAGAAAGATAACAACAAAACAGACTGTCCAAAAAAAATAAATAAATAAAAAAGAAAAAAAAAAAAAGAATAGAAAACACAAAAAAGAAATCAACAAAAACGTTTCGTACTTTTGTAAACTTGTTTTTTTCTCTCTGATTATTAATTTTTTTTTTCTTTTTTTTGTTTTTTTTTTACGCGTGCAACTCGTTCATAATGTTTAGAAAAATGTATCAGAAAGAGAAAAAAGAAAAGAGAAGAGGACATTTCTTTTAATTACGTATTTCTTCGATGTTCTAACAACTATAAACGCTCTGGGGGTTTAATCGTTCGATAAAAATATATAATGCGTTTGTATGCCTGCGTGTATGTTTCTGAATATGTGTGTCTGTCTGTGTGTGTGTGTGTGTGTGTGTTTGTGTACATCGTGCGACATTTAAAAAAAAGTACAACAGACAAAACAAATCGAATTTTCAAAGATTTTCGTCGATCTTTGTGGATCTAATCACTCTGTTCTTCCTATCGCATAATAAGAAATGCATTCGTCAGGGACTTTTGTATATGATATACTTGATCCCTTTAAAAGAAAAAAGAAAAAGAAAAAAAGAAAGAAAAGAAAAAAAAGTAAAGGAAAAAGAAAATCAAAAACCCAAAGAAGAAAAAGAGAAAAGAAAAAGAACCAAAAGGAACATATTTTACGTACATACGATACAACATTACAATACATACAATACATACATATAATACATACATACAATACATACGTACATATATACATACATACATACATACATACATACATACATACATACATACATGCATACATACATACATACATACAATACATACAATACACATATATGTTGCTTTGTACATACGTGATATTGTATAAACATAGAAATACGCACACACACGCACGCATACATGCATGCACATACACGCGGAAACAATAGACCAATGACAACTAACAAACAAAACAAAAAGAAACAAGTAAAAGGTGACCAAAAGAATGTCATCATCGATTTGTATGAGAAAAAATTCACGTGAGTTACGAAGTTATGGGATTTATCAAAAAAGAAAAAAAAAATGAAAAAAAGAAGGAGAAAAAACCAAACAAAAAAATTAGAAAGAAAAACGAATAAACGAAAACAAACAGTGACGAGAATATATTCGATGCGTGATAAAGAGAGAAAAACAGGTATATATGGAAAGAGAGAGATTGAGAGAGAGAGAGAGAAAGAGAGAGAGAGAGAGAGAGAGAGAGAGAGAGAGAGAGAAAATGTGATAGAAAGAGAAGAAGAAGAAGAGAAAGAAGAAGGGAGGGAGAATTTTACAAAGCAGAACAATCGCGGGACCATTAGTCTTAACGAAGACGACTATCAAGTAGCTTATTTGCGAGCCCCTCCCCTCCCTCCCTCTCTCTCTCTCTCTTTCTCTCTCTTAAATAAGAAAATGTATATTGCAAAAGAGATAATCATCCCATGAAAATAAATAACTCATGGTTACGTGCCGCGTCTTCTCTTTCTTTCACTTTCTCTCTCTCTCTCTCTCTCTCTCTCTCTCTCTCTCTCTCTTTTTCTCTTCAACAAAATCTTCGATGATACGAACAAAAAGTAAATCATTCGCAACAAAGAATATAATGAGTAAATAATAACATTGTATAACATTAGATACATATGGATTTATACAATATTGAGAACAATTTGTGGGGGTTGAAAGGTGGGAAGGAGAAAGAGAGAGAGGGAGTGAGAGAAAGAGAGAGATGGAAAGAGTAGAAGGGAAAAGAAAAGTTAGAAAATTTTCAAGACCCCATGATAACAATTAATCGTCGTCTTATTCGACTAGGAAAAAAAAAAGGATTGGAGATGTTGATGGGTGAAAGACAGTAAGTTATAGCGTATCCGTCTATTTCTTTTCACCCGGGAAAATAAATAACAACAACAACAAGGATAAGCTTAGAAAAAGAGAAAAGAAAGGGGAGAAAAAAGATATAATTCTTCTTTTCTTTTGCACGCCGGCGAAATTGAGAAAATATGAAAATAGAGATACGTCGTTGATGGTGGAAATTTTTTTTTATGGGATTCGGGGCGATTGATTTTTATGGTTGATGGTTATAAGAGGGAGTATGAAATGAAGAAGAAAAAAGAGAAACGAAGACATCTTCCTTTGTATACATAAATATATACACAAATGTATATACACGTGGATACATATTGTAACGTAGATACGTATGCACCTACGTATGAAAGAAAAAAAGAAAGAAAGAAAGAAAGAAAGAAAGATAGATAGATAGAAAGAAAAAGAAAGGCAGAAAAAGATAAAAAGAAAAAAGAAAAGGATAGTACAGTAACTACGGACTCATTTCAATATCGAAAAATGTATAAATGTTAAAAGTGAAGGAACGCTCCGACAAATTCGAACAACTCGCGTGGAAAAGATGTGCTTTAAATGGGAAATATGAGAAAAGAAAGAGAAAGAGAGAGAGAGAGAGAGAGAGAAAGGGGAAAAGAAATTCAAAGGAAGGGAGAGAACAAAAACAATAAATGAGAGAGAGAGAGAGAGAGAGAGAGAGAGAGATAGAAATAAAGATAATAAGAGTAATGCATCGTTTGGAACAATCTGTACGCTACAATTCCAAAAAAAAAAGAAAAAGGACACTTTCGTTCAAGCCAATTGAGTTATTTATGATAACAGAAGGAAAGTAATTATAATAATAATAATAATAATAATAATAATAATCATAATAATAATAATAATAATAATAATAATAATAATAATAATAATAATAATAAAAATAATAATCTGACGATGAGAAAAATTGAAAAAGTAAATCACCACTAGGGATACATCAAAAGACTAATAGATATATATATATATATATATGTATATCGATTTGACCCAGCACGACGCTATGGACGACAATTTTAACGAGATTAAGATGAATAGCAAAATTGATAAGCAAAATAATAATGTTGCAAATACATGCATACATACGCGTACACATATAGACACACACACACACACACACATATACAATTAGACACACATATACACACGAGTGCATTCGCATACCATATATATACAAATGTACGTACATTTCTAATACGCATGCCGTATGAAAAATGGGTTTAAAGAAAGGAAAGAAAGGAAAGAAAAAGAAAAAAAAAAAAGAGATACAAGAAAAAAAAACCAAAAAACAAAAATAAAAAAAAAAAGGAACAAAAATATATATATATATATGTTTGTACAAAAAAAATGAGAAGAAAAATTCGATAGATAATTGAGAACTATCAAGAGATAAGAGATAGGAGATAAGAGATAGAGAGTACGAAAAGGGGATTGTTTGAATGGAGACATTCATGGGAAAATCAAAGGGTGAAAAAAGTAATGGACGTCCTATGTATAACGAATTATGATTGCATGCATGAAATGACGAGAAGGATAAATAACGATCAAATAAATAATCATATATAACGATAATGCAGAAAAGAAAAATAGTGGCCTAACGCACGACACGACGTCGTAGCGTGGCCTCGCCGTTAGGGATATTTTTTTTTTTTTTTTTTTTTTTTTTTTTTAATTATTATAATTCTTTTATTTCGTTGCGTTCTTTTTTTTTTGGGGGGGGGGTGGGACAGGTGGAGATTTTTCAGATCGTGCAAAACGATTGCATATACTTAAGTGAATTAAAAATAGAAAGATTGGGAGGGAGAAAGAAAGAAAGAAAGAAAGAAAGAAAGAAGGAAAGAAAGAGATAGAGTACTGTAGGGTTAATTGATATATGCAGGGAGTGGGGGAAAAAAAAGGAAGAAAGAGAGAGGGTGAACCGGGAAGGTGAATAAATGAAGTTAAGAAAAAAAAAAAAAAGAAAAATATTATTTGTGAACGTAACTTTTTTTTTTCTTCTTCTATTTTCTTCTTTCTTTTCTTTTCTTTTCTTTTCTTTTCTTTTTTTTTTCTTTTTTTTTTTTTTTATATACACATATATAGATATTGGCTTGAAAATTTAAGAAAAATAAAAAGAACATAAAAATATTCAAAAAAAAGAAAAAAATAAATAAAAAAAAAAAAAAAAAGACGATAAAAAAAAAACTAAAAATAAACGATACAGTTTCTTCTTATGAATAAATAAATAATATAAAGAGGGTTGCGCATTGCCGACGGAGACAGCCTCCGCGCATTGCATTACACTTTTGCTATATATATATATATATATAAAAATGATTTTTCTGGGTTGTTTTAATTCATTTTCTGTTTTTCTTTTGTTTTTCTCTTTTATTCTTTCGTTTTAATTTTGTGCTTTTCCACGGACTCCGTGGACCTCTGTCATCGGTCGTCGTCGAAAGTGTTATTTAAAGAGACGATTTTGAAAAATCGGAAAGATCGTTTTTTTTTTTTTTTTTTTTTGGTGAATCGAACGAGGAAAAAATACAAGGAAAAAAAATTTTCGCAAGAGAGAAAAAAAAAGCAGAAAACGAAAAATGATTATGATTATAATAACAATTGTAACAACGATGTCAATGATGACAATGATGATGATGATGATGATGATGATGATGATGATAACGATAATGTTAATGATAATGACGACGATGATATTGATGTTGATGATGATCTAGAAAGGGATGAATAAAGGAAATAAATTAAAATAAAATTGAGGGATTACGATTTAGGAGGGGAACGGCCGAGGACGGAGGTCAGTCCTGCGATTACGATAATTTCGTCATTAATTAATTCATTTCTTTTTTTTTTTTTTCGTCTGCTTTAATTTACTTTAATTACTACTATATTATTATAAAAATGCATAAAAAAAAAAAAGAAGACGAACTTCTACTATATAATCATTACTGCTACTACCACTACTATATTATTATTACTACTACTATTACTATACTACTATACTGCAACTATACTGCTACTATACTACTACTACTACTACTACTACTACTACTACTACTACTACTACTACTACTATTACTACTAAATTACATGTGTTTTTGTGTCTACGAGATGATTTGATAATTAATTATTATTATTATTATTAATTCTTTTTTTTTTTCTTTTTTCTTTTTTTTTCTTTTTTTTTTTTTTTTATCAACGAAGTATTCCAAATTTGAGATGCGTAACTCTGTTCATTTATCTTGGCTCCGATTAAATTAATACTATTCATTCCGGCATAACGCGTCTCTACCCACCGAGATATTCGTAAGTTTTCATGTGATTTTTTTTTTTTCCTTTTTTTCTTTTCTCTGATAATCATTATGCAAATTTCTTGATCTGGTGACAAAAGAAAAAACTGGTCTCGAATCGGATCCCTCGGGTTTGTTTTGAACGCGTAAGTGAGAAAAACGTTTCATAGAGATAGAGATGTAGATAGAAAGATACAGACAGTGCGAGAGAGAAAGAATGGAAGAAAGAGGATGTTTGGAGAAGAGAAAATCGCGCAAGGAGCATTTTGAATAGGGAGAAAAAGTTTGAAAAGTAAAAAAAAAAAAAAAGAATGTATTATTAAATACGTATTATGAATACACGATCGACGATAGAAAAAAGAAAAAAGAAAGAAAAAAAAAAAAAAAAAAAGAGAAACAATAAGAATAATCGATATATGGATCTTTTTGGATACCGAGGGGCGAAGAGACACGTCTTTCTATTTCATGAAATTTTTTTTTTTTTTTTTTTTTTTTTTTTTTTTTTTTTGGTTTCTACATCTTATTCATCTGCGACGAATAATATTATTCTTTTATTATATAAATTAACGAAATTTCGTACGTCCTCTTGTAACAGATATTTTTTTTCTTCGTTTATCCATGTATATACATGGTATATATGTCCAAACATATACACACACACACACACACACACATACACACACACATAGATACACAATCTCTCGTGTGCGTTTTTGACAGTTTTATATATTCGCATTTATATATACATACATATATAAATACGTACGTACACACATATGTTGCATACAAACGTACATAATATATACGTATAAACATAAATGCATACATACATACATACATACATACATACATAGATACATACATGCATACATACATAGACACTTTGCGGAACATAAAGAAAGAGATAAAGATATGAAAGATAATAAATGAATATCTTTTTCTAACACATCAGCTCACAACAAATATCGCGCATAATAAAGCTTTTCGATTGAAAGGAAAGGGAAAGAAAATCGGTGGGGCGGGTAGGGGGGTGATGGAGATCAGGGGAGTGGGAAAGGAGGGGGGGGAGAAAAAGATAAAGGAAAAAAAAAATCTTATGGTGTTTTTAATCGATAATCGATTTAAAGATTTACTCTGCATACTATATGGATTACTAATTATTAAGTAACACAAGGACATAGAAATAAAATATATAGGCTTTAAGAATGCAAAAAGGGTTAGAAAGGAAGGAAGGATGGAATGAAGGAAGGAAGGAAAGAAGGAAGGAAGGAAAAAATAAATAATAATAATAATAATAATATTATAATAATAATAATAATAATAATAATAATAATAATAATAATAATAATAATAATAATAATAATAATAATATGCAGAACTTAGCGGTCGGCTTTTCTCCAGATATCAAAAAAAAAAAAAAAAAAAAAAAAAAAAACAATTTCTCCGAGTATTTCAGATCGTATAAAAGGAAGGGAAAAGAATTAAAATGAAAAACAAAAATATGATATATATACTTTTGGTCCGAGAAGTATGAAGCGTTTTTTTTCTTCTCCCTTTTTCTTTTTCTCCCCTAAAGAAGAACGAGAACAATGACAAAAGAATGAAAAAAAAAAAAAAGAAAGAAAAAAGAGGAAAAGGAGTTGGCGACGCTTTTCTCTCGTGTACAATCGCCCGAATGTTTCTTGAGCAAATTTACGCGCGCGCGCGCATAGGCAAAAATATATTTAACAAGGCGCGACGGGGCTGGGGGAGGAAAGAAAAAATACGTGATAGATGTGGAGGAAGGGAAGAAAGGAGAAATGTAAAATGGAAAAAAAGAAAACAAACGAAATTGTCTTTATTCTTGAATGACGTTGGAATATATATACATACATATATATATATATATTTTTTTTTCCTCTCTGGAGAAATAGCAACCGCTAAAATGCGTTCGGTTTAAAATTATTAATGAAACGTGAGGAATTGACCTGTATCATTCGAAACGAAAAAAAAAAAAAAAAAAAAAAGAAAAAAAGAGAAAAGAAAAGAAAAAAAAATTTCCAATCATGATCGTCTGTCTGATGAGAGAGAAAAGATATTAAAAGCGATAGAGAGAAAGAGAGTTCGCGAGAATGGAAAGAATTATTGGGAGGGTAGAGAGAGAAGGAGGGTGTTAAAAGAAAAATGAAAAGAATTGTCGGGTAGGAGGGCGGTCGTGAGTAGTTGGCGGTGGTGGTGGTGGTGGTGGTGGCGGGAGGGAGGGGGTGGTCGCACGCTCGCGTTAAAAAATGGGAAGAAAGTGGAGGGGGGTTGAAAACAATAGAACGACATTTAAAAACAATATAACTCTGCGTTTAAAACAAAGATGGCTTATAATTTAATAACACTATATTATCGCATTAAAGAGAATGAAAAAAAAAACAGAAAAAAAGAAAAAAAATTAAATAATAATAATAAAAATGAAAAAAAAAAGAAAAAGGAAGAAAGAAAGGAAGGAAAAGTTAATGGGAAAAAGAAAAAGAATAAAAGCAGAAATGAACAGACGCACACACACACACACACACACACACACATACATATATATACACACACACAGAGACACACATACATATACAGACATCTCTTTATAACCATAAACATAAATATATAATATCGATTTGAGAAAGCATATTGTACATACATACTAACGTGACAAATACACCATCAAATCACCGTGCATGTCGAATATTATAGGAAATGGATTTATGGGGAAGGATAATAAGAGACTGATTTCTCTCCTCCTTTAAGAATATAAATATTGAAGAGTTTATTAAACAAATCAGATTTCTACCATTAAATGTTACATTATATACATATATATATATATATATATATATATATATATATATACACATATATATCTTTACATCTTAATTCATATATTTTATTTTTTTTTTCTTTCGTTTTTCTTTCTTTTTTTTTCTTTTTTTTTTTTTTTTGTTTATTTTTCTTTCCGTTTTTCATATTCAATGCTATATTAATATGCAAGCGTATTATTATAATTTTTTAAGAGACGGAGAGAGGGAGAAGGAAAGAGATAGATGAAAGAGGAAAATCGAAGGGATGACATT